CAGCCGCCGCGTCCCGAGCACGCGCCGGCCCCGCCGAGCCGTAATCGGAGCGAGATCCGCGCGCGCTCCAATTACTCAGAGACCGCAGCTTTGGCAGAGCTTGGAACAGCAATTACCTCCGGGAAACCACAAGAGCGAGGAGGAATTAGGGTTTAATTTCTCTGAAGTCCACAAGATCTCGATAAGGATCAGGGCTCTGCCCACGCCAGGCTCTGCCCCAGCAGAAGGGATAAAGGCCCCAATCCCAAACGTTTTGCAATGCGCTCGGCTTTCGCTGCTCTCCTGTGGTAACGGGAATGCGGATGGACCCAGCAAGGGCTGCAGTTCCGCAGGGCTTCGTGTGGCCCCGCTGGCTTCGCGCGGCGCTCGATGGCATCCGCAGAGCGCGGCGCCCGCAGCGAGCGCTGCCCTTCCCGGCCCATCGACGAGCGTCAGTAAACATCCCCGGGCAGCCGCGGCTCCGGCTTCTCCATGGGGGAAATCTGCTCGAGCCGGGATTGCATCCGAACAGGAAAACACAGCGGGGCGAAAAGCAGCAGCAGCTCCCGCAGCCTCCTGGTGCAGCCCATCAGGAAGGAATCTCACCTCTAGAAACCAAGCCTAAAAAACCAAGGAAACACCTCCCAAAGAGTAAACCAGAACAACGAGGGCGGCTCCGTGCCGGGAGCTGCCCGACATGGAGCGGGAGAGCGAAAATCCCCCGGCAGCTGCTGCGATGCGGGGATGGAGCAGGGCCCCGGGCAGCGCTGTTCAATTTTTACCCACCGTTGTAGAAATTTGCGCTGCTAAAAGCAAGGAAAACCCCACGCGGGAGGGCCACGTTGGAGAGAGGCAGCCCCAACACTCCAGCCGCAGGGAATCCCGGCCCCAGCGCTCACCCACCGGCTCTCGCTGCCCCAAACCGTCCAGAACGGATCACGAGGGAGATAAACCGGCTTCAGCGCCAGCCGGGAACACATCTGGATCGTGTTGTTTTTACTTAACACCCTTCGTTTTGTAACTGAAGGCAGTGCTTATTCCATGATATGAATTTAATCTTTCTCTGTAGCAAAGCAGCTCCCAGGGCTGTGCAGAGAGCAGACAAAATGAACAAAGTTATTCCTGGATAATTTATTCAGAATTTTGATATAAACAGTTAATTGTTCAATATTCAGACACACAGCAAGATTTTTTTTTCTCAATACTCAAAGATATTTCCTGTACATGTCACTGCTTGGCTCTTATATATGAAAACATTGAAAAAATACTTTTTTATTTTTTCCTTTTCCGTTTATTTTTTTAAACATGGCACATTTGATCCTTTAGGTCAATCAAGAGGTACCTGCAATAGTCTCTGTGTTCTGGAACCTCCAACACGCGGAGCGAGAGGCAGAGCAGCGAGACGGAAGGGAAAGCAGGGAATGCCAAGGGCCCAGAGCAGCGCTGGGCTCGGAACCAGAACCGACCCGGGTTAGTGAACCTGCAGGCGGAACCGCGTTGGCTTTGGGCTGCGTTGGATAAAGCCGACGTCCAGCACCGCCATCCAGGGCCTTCCTCGAACAGAAACCACCGCTCCGAGGCCTGGAGAAAATAAACGGCCCCAACTAAAGCACAAACAGTCCCGCTTTTCCTCAGCAGCGTTCCAACTTCTCAAGTTTAAAAGTGGCGTTTCAACCCACCCCCAAAGAGCAAATAAAATCCCCCAAAGCTGCCGGGCGGTTCCGTGGGCCTTGCCTAGGGGACGGGCGTTCAGGAACGAGGCCGGTCGCGGCGATGCCGGCGGCAGAGCCGGGTTCCGCTCCGGCCACGAGTCCGGCTGAGGGACGCGGACACCGATCCCGAGGGGCCTCTTCCCTCCACGGCGCTAAAAACTCCAGGCTTGGGAATACAAAATCAGCCATTCTCAGGACACCGGGTCTGTTCAGCTCCATAAACACGTCCTACATTTAAGCTGCAGTTAAACTCCGCCGATGGCTCCGGTGGCAGAATTATCCCGGGCCAGAGCCAGCTCCCACGGAGACTTTCTGGATGAAGCAAGAAGAACCATTTATGCAGAACCACCACCTGGAACAACTCAGAACCAAACACCAAAAACACTTTTTTTTTTGCCAGCATATTTGAATCAACAAGAAATAACACCACCACCATAGGAGTTAATACTAACTTTATTATACAATATTTAAAAAGTCATTTTTCTACCTGTCCCCTTATAGCTTGCATTGTGCTGCAGTTGATTTGCTGAAACTGCAAGAGTAAGTGCTTACTTTTGAAAAGGACAAGCAATTTTATTTTAAAAAGAAATACACATTTAATGACAGCAGATTTAATAAAAATGGTAGCTTTATGATTGCTTTTGATAGTCCGATTCCTCCAAAAGTCAATTTTACTGCTGGCTCCTGTGATGTTCGTAACAAGGCCAGAGCAGAGCAGGTCGAAGCGCGTTAATGCTCTTACACCGACGTCCACGTACAGTATCCAAAGCAGAGTTAACACAGAGCCAAGCAGAAGGTAATAAAAAGGCCAGATTTGATGAAGTTCACACAAATATCAGCGGATCTGATTTGGAGTTCTGCGCGTTTCTGCGCTTGCTCGTTCTCGACCGCGATCCGTCCAACGGCTCCTTTCCCGGGAATGACGCAGGGACCTCCGAGGGGCCTCGCTGGCTCCGGGGGGTCTCCGGGAGCGCCGGGCACAGCCTTTGCACTAAGGTTTTATGGCACAAAGATCCTGGTCTATTTTCTGACGTGTAAAACAAGGTTCCAGTCTCGGGATCAGGGATCACTGCAGGCAGTGAGGGCCCCCGAGGACTCGGGGTCCTTCTTCTACCACAGTGACATTAAGAGGGAACTCGATCCTCCCCTAACAGGGCGGCTCGGGGACACCCACCCCAGCCCCTTCCTGCTCCTGTCGTGTCCTATTTGCCTTCACCATAGATTTAGCTCAATAACACCACAAGCAACTCTGAGATTTTTCCAAAGACATACCAATGTTAGATGCAACATACTAAAATTAAGCAAAGTGTCCCATTACTATAATACAAATTTAGGAGGAAAAAGATATACCACCCATAAATTAAGAGTACCCTTTAGCAACCTAAGAGCAGCCTCTTCACACCAACACGGCTGCTCTATCCAGATCAAACGGCATCGGTGCAGCTTGCTCTACTTCCCACCGCGGGGGTTATGGTGAGGAGCTCCTCTACTTTACAACACAACAGAGTATTTACAAGCAGCCAAGACAACGCGTTTTCCACCCGCCCGACGAGCTCTGCAGCGCTGCACCGTGCTGCAAGGAGCAGCAGCCCTGCGAGGGGCATTGAGGAAGCGGCAGCTCAACCTGCGGGCGCTTCCCAAACCTCTCCAGCATCACAATTCCAAGATTTGCTCATGGAAACACGGCGGAGGACGGCAAACGGTTCCTCGTGCTTCCTGCTTCCCCAGCTTTCGGGATAGGGAGGTTCTGGCTATTTGGTGGTGCCCCTCGTCGTGCCCAAAGCGCACGGGGGAGGTCCCGGCTCCTCCTCGACACATTCCAGGCTCTGCCGGTGGGAACTTCCCAGCTGCCTTCTGCCAAGGGGAGGATCCAGCCCCCCAGCAAACGTAATGTCAAGGAAAGGAAGAGTTTCCCACCTGCGGACACCTCGCCGGGCTCCTTCCCGGCCCCTCGTGCTCCGCTCGTCGCCCCGACGGGGATCTCGGCTCCTGTGCCCGGGGCACAACACGCCTGGAAATCAACTCCGAGTAATTCCAGAGGAGGCTTCAGCTAACGAACGCAGCCCCAACTGGGCCCCATTCCCTGGGATGTCCCAACAGGGAGCAGCGGGATCCAAGCACAGGGAATGCTGCATCCCTAGGGTAGGGACCTGCCAACAGACACCATCGTGTCCGGCGTGTAGGATGTCCAGAAGTGACAGCCGGGCTGTATAGAAGATCGTCGCTTATTCTTCCCAATTCTTTACCTTTACAAAGGTTAAGTGTAGCCTTGAAGCCACGAATGGCAACAACTAGTGTCATTTTTTGCTTTGAAAGGAACTAGCTGTGGGGAAAAGTGTTATTCTTACCACTAGGACCATAGGTCTTTTCCTCATCCTGGGCACAATATAGAAAGGTGACCAAAGAAATCTGCGCTGCACTGGGGATAAACAACTGCTGAGCTTGGTGCAGAGCGAAGGTGACGCGTGAGCCGCACGGATGGACTGCGTGTCCACAAAGCAAACACATGTTCCCTGGTCCAGCGATCCGAGTGTTGCGTTTACGGGAACTCGGAGGGCCAACCAATATCAATTCGGTTTAAAACCTGACCCAATACAAGGTTCCAGTTATGACTGCTGCAATTTAAAACCTTACCAAAACAGTGATATAGGGGAGAGGTTTCTTTTCGATTGTCACATCCTGCTGGCACTTCCCCCATTCCCTGTGCCCAGCGTGAAAGGAGTGTGACCGAGACACCCAAATTCACACAGAACAACAAGACCAGTCACAGCCCCTGGTCCACGCTGGCAACTACAGCTCCAGGAGGAAGCTGTCTATTCCTTTTAACTAATTTGCAAAATCCAAACATTTAAATGGCTTTTTTTTTTTAATTACAATAGAATTAAGTGGATGATACCAGATCCAAATTGTTGCTGTGCATGTGAACCTGTAAAGAGGTTCCTTTGTTCACTGCTGCTCGGGGCAGCGATAAACAGGGACTAGCTGTTCTCCTGCCCATTCCCTTCGCTGAATGGTCCCTCGTATTGGAATCAGCTGATACTGATTTTTCCCTAATCCACAACAGGTCCAGACCAGAATATTTAAACAAGTTTAGAGATGCGCAGTATTAAAAATATCCTTAAGAAACACTGAGGTAGACTGCACCAGAACAGGACGAAAATAATCCCACCATATCCACCTGCCAGGTTTTTACCAATACAAATTTACATGTTCTGTGTATTTAAGAAAACAAATTGTTTGGTTTTTCTTTACAGTGTTTTATATATTAAAATAAATAAAAAATTTCTAGTAAGAAAAACTTCTCTTCCTTAGAAAAGTGTGAGAATATGTCTTCTTTCCTGCAGTGTAGCATAGAGCTGCTAAACAGTTACTGCTTTGTAAAGCAGAAGAAATGTAAACGAGGCCTTTAGAAATTGAAGAAATTGAAGATTTCTTACCCACATCTCTACTGTCTTATTTCCCACCTAACTTGGCGAGGTTCTTTGTACCTTCCAGCCCGGTTGGAGCAGGGCAGACGGGGCGAGCGCCACGCGCTGCCCGTTCCTCGCGGTGCTCCGAAAGGCGCCGTCCTGACACGTTGGGCTGCGGTCTGGCTCGAGTGGAGCGGGATCCGAGCGGAGCCTCCCTACAGCTCCAGCCCTGCTCTGTTCATGCACAGGGAGAAGGACGCGGCGCTGCTCGGGCTGGAATAAAGAGCCACACGTCAGCTTTGTGTAGCATCCCCACTCGCGCCAGGTCGGGAAAACCTCATTTTCTCCCAGCAGAGAGAACAAGCAGGCATGCTCCTTTTTACTGGACTTATCCAAGAGAAAATACAGATAATTGAGGAAACTCTCCCCTTTTAAAACCACCTTCTGCATGACCACGGCCTGCAACGGCTCGAATGTTCCCTTCTTGCCTTAGCACTTCTCCCTGGTCACTGCAAGACGCCTTGAGTTTCACAATTACCTTCTGACACCTCGTGCTCATGAGCTCTGTCCTGTAGGCAAAGAGCAGCAAAAAGCAGAGTCCCAGAGCTGCAAGTTCACATCCCGAAGAGCGGAAAGCAGCGGCAAGCGGCCCCACGGGTGCAGGGATGTCAGGAAAACACCGCAGGGATGTCAGGAAAACACCGCAGGGATGTCAGGGCCGCGGGCGGCGCGCGGCCGGGCGGCCGGGCACAGGCCCCAGCAGCTCCTGCTCCTCGGGCTCTCCCCCTTCCCGCTGGTTTAGTGTCTCTCTCCGGAGTCCTCGCTCTTCCCCTTGCTGCTTCCCTGGCAAAGGGAAGGCAAAGCCAGCGGAGCAGGGGCCGGGAAGCAGCAGGACTTGGGACAGGGACATCCCGGTGTCCTTGAGCCCCCGACAACCACGTAAGTCCCAACTACTTTATCTCAGGGCTTCAACCGGAGCCAGCTGACTGCATTATATAAATCACGAGACTGTATTATAAAGCCTTGTCAAGTATAAACTTAACATGTGCTTCATAGTTCCTAAAAGGGTAATCGGCTAAAATTAGTTCATTCCGAAATCTTTGGACCACTTTAAGACCAAACAAGCCCCCAAATTCTACCCTCCCAGAAAGGATCATAAACAGTTAATAATTTATATGAAGTTTAAATTTAAACTAAAGACATTTTAAATATGTTACAACAAACAATATATATACTCAATGCTGTAAGAACAGAAAACTCGGCATCTCAGGTCAGGGGACTCCTACCTCGTTTGGTCTTGAAAGTACCCATAAATCTCAGATTTCTGCTCCTTTGGCTCCCAGCACATTTTCCTCATTTGACAATGAGAGAAAACCTACTCCCAAGAGTCCTTAGTATAAAAATAATCTGTTTATGATTCAGTCACTCCAGGGAAACGGGAAAAAGATAAGTACACACTTCTGAGAAGAGGAAAGCTTCTGTGAGAACATACAAAACTTATGTACAAAAAGAAGTGTATATTTTGATATACATATACACCCCACATATATATACTGCACACACGCACGCACACACACACGCACACACACGCACCCTTGGGATTTAACCCATTTAAAAAGTATGAAAGCAGCAGCTATTGGTCAATCTGAGGATCTGGCGCGTCTCAATGGGTGTTCAATCCTTCGGCTGTAGTGAAGAGGATGCCTGAAAGCCTGGAATTCTCCTGGAAATGCTTTTGTCCCGCAGAAGTTTTGTTCCGCACCGTTACACTGTAGCTCAGATACCAGCAAATTTCACTTCTTCTGTTGGCAAAGGTGGATGCTCCTCCTTTAGCTTGACTTAAAAGGTCACTTCCTGTTTTGAAACCATGGTTACACAAGGGACAGCAGCCATGGAAACCTTTTCCATTTATGTTCACAGATAAGTCCACCGACAACCAGTCAACTTGGCAAAAAAAAAAAAATTAATCATAAGATGATTAAAAATCTGAAGTTTGTAGATGTGTGTCATACACTGTGGCAGCAATAATAAGAGTCCTGAGATTTGTGAAGGGGGGAAAAAAAGCAGACACAACCCTTGGGCCGAACAGGAAGCGTTAGGAAGGGCTTGCCCTGGGCATGGAGAGAATCCGCCCGTTTTTCTTGCCACCGTTCATGTGAGTGTAAGGGATGTGCTCTTCGTAGTTCCCCTTGAGGGCCATGGAGGGGCCGTCGTCCCGGCCCAGCGCTTTGTCCCTCTGCGAGTACGAGGAGGGATCGAGCGGAATGCTCTCCATGTTCTCGAAGTCCATCTCGTACTCCTCCGTTTCCAGAGGTTTGTTCTCCTCGCTGTAGAAGAAGGAGACCTCGTGGAAGCTGGGGTGCAAGTCCTCCTTGAGCATCTCGATGATCTCGATGAAGGTGGGCCGCATCTTGGGGTTGTACTGCCAGCACATCTGCATGAGGCTGTGCCTGCACCGAGACAAACAAGCGTCAGGGACAGCAGAACAGCCCCGCACGGCGCACACCAACACCACCCGCAACAGGCGCGCGGTCCCCTGTCCCTGCTGCGGTTGTGTTTGCTCTTCCGCTGGTCTCCAGTTTGGCCTGGAGATCCTTCCGCTCCTTTTCCCACTATTTCTGTCTAAACCAACAATTCTTTCCAATTCCTTCAATTGTTCTTAGCGCAGCCTCCGAAGGAAGCAGGGCTCTTGTTCACAGATTCTCGGCAGGCGCACACGTGCTTACAGCCTGGCCACGTTTTTTTCATTCATTCACTAATTTCACCTCAAAGATAACCAAATCGCAAACCCTTCAAGGAAAACAGGGGGTCAGGCAGAGGACAGAAGTCCCATCAACATTCCACCTACAAGGGAGACTGCAGCAAGAGGTTCTATGTTACTGGGCACCCCAAGGAAAGAACTCACAAGTGTCTCAAGTACAAACAAACTTTCAAACTGCAGTTTGTAATTAGCCACCAGAGAAAAGGCCCCAGGAGAGCAGGTTTCTATGCTAGGGATACTCACAAAAAATGTTTATTTTTGACCATGGAGCTGGACGTGCTGTTTTGGCTAGAACTGGTCACTGAAAGCAGCATTCCCCATTCCCAGGCAGGGCTCCTTCCCCTCATCCCTGCCTCCTGCTTCCTTGCGGCTCCTTACGCTCCTTTTGTGCCTGACCCAGCTCAGGTTAAACACTTAATAACAGCATTTTTTAAATTACTCTGACAGAAACAGCTTAGGCAGCACCTGGCTGTGCAGCCGCGCTGGCGGGGCTGGGGGTGCCACCAACCCTGGAGATGGGAGAGCCAACGTCAGGAGCAGCTGGGGACGGTAACCCTCAACCCGGCCCGGCGAGCGCCTGGCTCCGGTTCCTAATCCTCTTTGGAAGGTGTTTTTCCCTGCGTCTCCACATAGTTTCCCCTTTTTCCTCTCAGCTGGTCTCCTAAGTGCAGCAACCAGTCTACCCCAGAAACGCAGAGGCTGCAGACACGAAAAGCCAAGGGGCTCTGCCAAGCGCTCCCCTACCTTTACCTTCTCATTAGCCATCAATCGGATTTCTGAAAATTAGCAGTTAAACGCTGTAATTCTCAAGGCAATGCAATCCCAAACTACTTACGTAGCACAGAGGGATGATTTACGCAAAGGCTCAGCAGAGCTCGGATTAGCTGCTTTCCAGCCCCTGCGGCCACGTGGACGCGGAGCGCGGCCGGGCGCTGCCGCGGTCCTGACGCAAACCGCCCTCCCCAGCGGGCACAAA